TGAGATTGTATTTTCATTATTTTTATTGAAATTCTGATTATATGAGCATTATCTATTAAATCAAAACTCCAATTTTGAAATGTGATCATCATTCCAATTATTTAACAAAACACAAAATTCTTATATTGATATTCTCAAATATTGAAGAGATTTTTTCAAAGAAAACTCATTAATTTTTATTTAAAAATTTTTATTTTCTTAACTATACAAAGAAAAATATTTCAATACAAGAACAAAAATCATTCTGAATGAATCGAAACATTTATTTTATTTTCATAAAAAAACTAAAATTTTTATTCCTTTCTGTGTCTAGTTAATGTATGACAGTAATATAATGATTATTTTATTCATCTAATTAGGTTTGAGAAAATAATCGATGACATAAACATATTTCATGTTTTTCTTTAATTATAATACTATTTGTGATATTAATCAAAATAAAAGAAATATTTATTTCATTTATCATTATTCTTTTTATTATTCTTTAATTCTTTCTACGTAATTGTAATGTTTCAGAAAAAAAAAATTATTTTAATCAAATAATTATTATTATTTCTAACATTTTATATTTATCAAAATTGTTACATTGAAATTGCTTCGATATACATTAGGAATTCAATACTGATATATAAAAAAAAAATTTTATATATATATTTTAAATATAAAAAAATTTTAAAAGAAAAGACAATGCAAAGAATAAATGATTTCGAAAATAAATCTTTGAATAATATAATACATCATCATTATCTTGTTGATTAATTGTAATTATTGTCTACAATGTAATAAATTTTTTATAAAAACAAAAAAATGAATATTAATGTCATAGAATAGATTGAATGAATATGAAAGTTGATAGAATAAATGAAATCAAATAAGAGAATTGAAAAGATCCTAACAAGAATAATTAAAAAATTCAATGTCTAGATTTTATTTATAATCAAAAAGTAGTCTGTTTTTTTTTTTTTTTTATTTTTTCTTTAAAAGATTATAAATAAGTATTTATCAAAGTTTGGAATAATGTTTTATAGATATTCAAAGTTTCAAAAAAAACATTATTATTATGAAAATTAAACAACTATAAAATGGACTTATTTGGATTTTCTAAACAGAATCTGCTCTTGACATATGTTGAAAATTTTGATTTTTCCAAATATATTCAAAAAATGAGAATAAATAAAATATACCAGAGAAACAAAAACAAACTTTTATTGTATAGAGATTATAGAAAAGTAAAACTAATAACAATAAGAAGTTGAAATATGTATGAATTTATTGTATTTATTTGAAAATCACAAAACTATTTTTTTCTTTAATCAATAAAAAATGTTACTTATTGGTTAATTCTTGCATAAATTATTTGATCAATTTCATCCTCAACAGACCTTAGAAAAACCTTCTACATTTAGATTAAGATCACGTCTGAAATTTCCATTGACCAAAATAAACACATTATCAATGTCACTCAAGTTATATAAGAATAAAATTCATTACTATACTCATCAACATCATTTGAGTTGTACTCAAGAAGATATTAAAATATCGATTATCCTTATTTAATCAAAATTTATTTATATTAAGTAGATAATCATTAATTATTAGATGTAAATACTATTAGACTGATCTTGAATGAAATACAGGGTTGATCGAGTCAAACCATTTTTCGAGTCGAATCGAATCGAATCCGAATCATTTCGAAATGGTTTCGAGTTGAGTCAAGTTGATTCACCATGGTTTCCTAGTCGAGTCAAGTAAAGTCAAGATATTTTATGTAATTTTTTTCGTTTTCTGTTTGTTTCTCTAAAGAACCGTAACAATAAGTTTTTCATGACATGTCTTCTAGCTCCTACTTTTTCTATACAAAAAAAATCGAACAGTTATAATCCTTTGTCTCAATAATAGAAGCGTTCAATGCTTTTAAACTGTATAAGCGTTGAAATTTTGGGAAAGAGCCTCCGTTAAGTCTCAACATTTTGCAAAGATTTAAGATTCAAAAATTGTTTAAAAGAGTTGTGAAATTTTCAGAGTTTTTGAAGGCTATACGAAGAATTTTCATAAGTAGTTCAAGCTTTCTATGCTAACAAGTAAGAGTTAAATAAGTTTTTATCTTAAAACATTGAAAAATTGCTAGTTTTACTATGAAATTAATGATAAAAGTTTTCAAAAAATTTGAGAAAGTTTTTAAAAAGAGGGGCTTATACTATGTCTAACTCATTGATCCCAGTCAGGGAAGCTTTTAATATGGAGAGAGGGAATTGTACACAAGATAAAATGACATAACTGTTATAGATTTAACAACACAACAAGAACACTAAAATCAACTCTTCTTTTTAATAGAATCGTATACCAAAATAACAAAAATATTGTTGGGTGTGGGTGTGGATGTGTGTGGGTGTTGGGTGTGGGTGTGGGTGTGTGTGGTGTGGGTGTAACCACTAACAGAGCAACACCCACCCCCACCCACACCCTTCATGAAAATAAATTTATGGACTTGCTTGTTCATGAAAATACTTTCGAATAACGATTTATGATGTCGACGCACAAGAATTGGTCGTCACATAAATCACAGTCTGAATAGATGAAAAGAAATCCTCTGCCTATTCAATGAAAAATTGAGTGCTGGTTTTTCAATTACAGTGATGTATTATACTTGATTTTTAAATATGAGAATCATTTCGTCATTTCACGTCTAATGAAAAAACCAATTCTGCCTAAGTTTAATATTGTCTAATATATATATAGGTAATTCACATTTCGATCACTCGTCACACGCATCCTTGGCTTTTTAATGTATACGTGAGTTTGATTGTTTTGCCATACACAGTAGTTGAGCTGTAAAAAGAAATTTCTCATACTCTACCATATCGTATGTTTTAATCAATTACTTAAAAACTGTTATTTTTGCCTTTGTATCTCATCGATTTTTTGCACTGGTATCCGATGTTTAAAAAATGGATGAGTTAAGAAAGATTATCTTATTCGCTGTGCACTATTCGTGATATTTTAATTGAAAAGAAAGCGAAACAAAAATAAGTGGTGTTGCCATCAAATTTCCTTCTTATCTGAATGATGATTGAGTTACATTGAAAGATGTTTTGTGCTTACGTAGGTAAGATAAGCTATTTAATACCATAAAAGTGTTAGAAAATGGCAATTGTAATATTTTCACTGTATAAATTACAACTTTCCCTTCTTCTCTACACTAATAGCGATCGCAATTGATATTCAAAAAGCATTAGTCTCTAGTTCGAGTCACCGAATAATTTCAGAAAATGTATACTGTCTTATACGTTACATTGATGTTAACGACAGGTAATGTTGAGGATACGCAGAATTCTCCACAAATAGAACTGAAGAATTGTGTTTTATGTGTTCGCAATATTATCACTCTACGTAGGGCAAATCAGATTTCGACAAATAATTCTTACGGCTGTAGCAACAACAACGGATACAACTTCCAATGAATTGGTCAAGTCTCGAATAGAAAATGGTCGTTTCATTAATTCATTCAATCCGCAATATAAATCGCCCAATCTAGGCCTTGTTTTTATCTGGAAGATCACTTCACGGGACAATACACGATTGCCGTCTAATAAAAAAGAACTTGATAAAATGTTACCCGTTATTCGACATGAGAAATCCGAAGAACTATATTTAACAAAACTCGGTCTACGATTTATCTGGATTGGACATGCTTCATGTTTTGTTCAAATGAACAATTTTCGATTTCTTGTCGATCCAGTTTTCAGGTAGATACTTATTCTCTCTCTCTCTCCTGTTCTTTTGATAAAATTGAATAATTTTAGTGAACGTTGTGGTGTGGCATCATTTATCGGACCGAAACGTTTCCGCCCACCGGCATTAATAATAAATGATTTACCCGATGATCTTGATGCTATACTTATTTCACATAATCATTTTGATCATCTCGATTATTCTAGCGTAAAAGAATTAAATAAACTTTATGGTGAACGACTAACTTGGTTCTGTGGTCGAGGTACTCGACAATGGTTTCTTGATAATAATGTAAAAAATGTTGTCGAGCTCGATTGGTGGGAAGAGTATCATTTTTCGGTAATAAAATATTCATTCTGAAAACTTCTTTGCATGATATATAGATATCTTTGATTTTTGTTTTAGAAAAAAGAAGTGAACATTGCATTTTGTCCAGCTCAACACTGGTAATGTTCAATGGTTTTTTTTCTTATTAATGCAATATTTTCTATTCTAGCAGTGGTCGTACTGCATTCGACACAAACAAATCTTTGTGGGGCAGTTATGCTGTCTGGGATGCTACACACAAATTTTACTTTGCTGGCGATACAGGTTATACTCATAATATTTCAATTTTTCGACAAATTGGCGAAAAATATGGCCCATTCAACTTAAGTGCTATACCGATCGGTAATTACGAACCACAATGGATAAAGCAAGCTCATCATGTGTCACCAGATGAAGCTGTTCAGATACATATTGATGTTCAATCAAAAAAATCGATTGGCATTCACTGGGGTACATGGGGATTTGGAAATGAATATTTTATGGAACCACCTGGGAAACTTTCTAAGGCAGTTAAAATCAATCAACTCGATCCGTCATCATTTATTGTAGTTAAACATGGTGAAATTTTTGATTTACCCTAGTAATACTAATTCATCATATTTAACTTTTTGTTCTTTACTGGTTGTAATGTCCAGCATTTTAACTCTTTGAGTCTCGGTGGTACATATATGTACCACCTAGTGAAAATTTCTAATTTTCAAAAATTTTCAAATATGTTTGTGGTTTTTAAGATCTAGAAGGAATATTTTTAACAAATGTTCGTAGTTAAGACATATTTGTGCGAGATTGTACAGATATCCGTATGAATAGACAATGTCGAAAAGCGTACTGCGGTATGTCTATTTGATTTCAGAAAGTTTTCTTCAAAAATCTAAATTTTGAAAAATTCGTGTTTGGATTCATTGTGTCATGATGAAAACCTAACTGTTTTATAAAATATAATGGATTCAGATTCTGACGAAACCTTATCCGATGAAAATGAAAGTTCAATTAGTTTTGATGAACTTGAAAGTAGTGGTTCCGAAGATAATGTTTCATTAATCGAAGAACTCAACCAAAGTTCAATGGATGATTGGGAATGGAAAGTTGACAACTCAAGTTTTTCTACTTCTTTCAATTATTTTGATGGACATGCATTAGGAAACAATATAATTCGACCAATAGATTCATTTTTCAAGTTTTTATCCCAAGATTTGATCAAATTAATTACTAATCAAACCAACATTTATGGCAAACAACGTTGTGTTCAAAAAGGTGAAGATGCAACAAGTTGGAAAGAAGTTGATGAAAATCTAATACATGCATTTCTCGGTATTTTATTTATCATGGGATTTCACAAGCTGCCAAGAATTCGAGATTATTGGAGTCAAGACAGAAATCTTTATACACCAGCTGTTGCCAACACAATGGCAAGAAACGACTTCCAACGACTCTTTTCGAACATTCATCTTGCTGATAATTCAAAAATGCCCTCGAAAAACTCTTCTAATTATAATAAATTGTATAAAATAAATGATTTTCTCAATATTTTGAAAAGAAATTTTCAGAAAAACTATTCACTTGGATCATGCATTTCCATAGGTGAGGCGATGATAAAGTTCAAGGGTCGATCGTCCATAAAACAGTATCAACCATTGAAACCAACTAAGAGGGGATATAAGGTATGGGTCTTGGCCGAATCGAGTACAGGATATGTGTATAACTTTGAGATTTATACCGGAAAAATACAGAACGACGTTTGTCATTAGAAGAGCATGTAGTCATGTCATTAGTAAATGGGATAGGAATGAAGAATCGTCAATTATTTTTTGATAGTTATTTTACTTCCTTACAATTACTTTACAAGCTGAGGAGAAACAAAATTTCAGCTACTGGTACAATTCGTTCCGATAGAAAACATTTTCCAACTGAATTGAAGAAAGGAGAAAAACTTGAGAGAGGCGATTATCGATATCTAACATCCAATGGAGTTTCTGTAATAAAATGGATGGACAAGAAAGAAGTTCTTATTGCATCAAACTACTTTGATCGTGCAGTTGAGGGTGAAGTTAGTCGACGAGATAAAGATGGAAGTAGGAAGCAAATTTCTTGTCCATTAGCAATTGTTCAGTATAATAAATACATGAGAGTCGTGGATTTATCTGATCAAAAAATAAAGTATTATACAATTGATCGAAAGTCAAAGAGAAACTGGATAAGAATATTTTTTCATTTCCTTAGCATGTCGTTGGTAAATTCATTTATCTATTATAAACATCTTTCTAATAGTAATATTAGTACAGTAGAATAAATGTCATCTAGTAGCACTGCACTGATAGGTAATTATTGTAGTAGAAAAAGGCTAGGAAGACCTTTGGCAATGAGTAATCAGAAGAAAGTGCGCATCGAAGAGAGCATTAGTGACGCAGAAAATCCTGAAAAACCACAATTGTTAGCTCATATGCCAGAAGTTATTTCAGCCCGTCGTAGATGTCCTTATTGTAGTACGAAAGAAAAACAAAAAACGACGGATGTGATATCTACTTTTTGTGATGTTGGTTCATGTGTGAAAATTTGTTTTTCTTTGTGTCATCAAAACTATGTGTATCAACATTGAAATGAATAAATAGATAATCATATAATCACACAGTTTTTTATTTTAACCTAACCAGAGGATGGGTGGGTGTGGGTGTGGGTGTGGGTGGGGTGTGGGTGTGCGTGTGGATGTGGGTGGGTGTGGGTGTGGATGGGTGGTGGGTGTGGAGGTGGGGGTGGGCGTGTGGGTGTAGGGTGTGGGTGTGGCTTCCTAGTGGACACGTATCGACACTCAGACCCACAACTACACCCACACCCCCACACCCACCCGCCACCCGCCACCCGCCACCCGCCACCCGCCACCCACACCCACACCCACACCCACACCAACACCCCACACCCACACCCCACACCCACACCCACACCCTATCTGAATCAAGTAAACTACGCTGTTTATTGGCAATCTGTTCAGCAATGGAAAAGTGACGCTCACTTTCAAATAACGAAAACTGATTTGGTAATTTGAGCAAGCACGTTGAGAATATCCTTCTGGATCTTCCAAAATGAAAGAGGATTGTTGTCGTAGCTGGAATCAAATTAAAGATTTTCGCAGACTTGCATTTTACGATCGAGCTTGACTGAGCAAACGCGTTGGCTTGAATTCGCAAACAGATCTTGCTTGAGTCGCTTCGAGGGAATGTGGTTTTCGGCTCACAAATGTCAGTAGGTAGTTTTTTGATGATTAAAATCATGTAATAGAAGCAGAAAATTTCACAGCGATGAACTGACAAAAGTCCGGTTCCGTTCGGTTTGGTGTTGTCCAGTCTGGTCCGGCCGGACCAGTTCCAACTCTGATGTGGGTATGCACGTAAGTAAAGAGAAGATCCATAAACACACCCACATTCTCATTCTATTTTTCTTGAGTAATCAGACTTTTATTGACATCTATCGTCTTTTTTTTTTCGAAACATAAAATTAAGAATGTTATTTTATATGATATTATTTGTTAATTCAATAAATGAAATAGAACGACTTGGCAAATCGAAGGAAGTTAATTTTAATTGATTATTTTCAATTTTATATTCAACTGATTCTGTTCAATAATTTTATTTGTTGACTTTGTTTCAAATGTTCTAATTGATCTGCATTTAATTCATCTAATTTTCCAATCTTAATCCATTCTGCGTATGTATTACTATGACTTAAATCAATTCTATAATGTTTCAGTAGAACATTTTGTAATGGAATATTTATAAAAGTAATGTTGATCGATTGAATATCTTCGTCATATGTCCAATCATCAACATGACAAAATAATAATAATAATTGAAAACTTTTATTCCCACCGTCACATGTTACGATACCAAAAATCGGTAATTGTGTTTAATTTATTTCCATAAATAATAGTTTATATTTTAATTTCCCAAATAATTTCAAATCAGATAAAATAGGTAAATGTAATTTATAGTTTGTCATAAGAGTGCGATTACCTTCAAATAATCTTTTTCCTTCCATATAAAATGACCAATGTATTATTAGTTGAATTCGACTAGATAAAGATAATATATGAAACATCATGGATGCAACAATACAAGGATAATATTCTGTATTATATATGATATAATTAGAATTATCGTAAACACCATGAGTTGTATCAACAGCAGGATCACATCCATCAATAAAGATTGGTAAATGGTTCAATTGTTCAAATTCATTATAAATCATCAAGTTATTACGAATATCATTGAGAATCTTTGAAAGACTCGATGATTGACGACTAGCTTTGTGACCATAACATCTTCAAAAACCATAATAGACACATTTATGTAAATGAAAATAAGACTTATCCTATAACTGAGAATTCAAAGTCAAATACTCTGTGTAAACATATCACTTCCTAAGAATTTTTGCAGTTCGAAACTAGGATGTGGATCTATGCGCGATTGTGGGTGCCGGTATGGGTGTGGATGTGAATGTGTGCCCTGTATTCAACTACACCCTACCCATGCCCACACCCAGCCTTTTTTAAGTTTAATTGCATATAAAACATTAATTTCTAGCGATTGACAAACATCACATATTTATTATACAGTTTTCTTAAATAAAAATTTTTTTGATGTCAAACTCTATAACTTTTACCTTCATTTTTCATACTATTTGCCTTATTAACTAATGACATTCTACTCATGGGTTCGATTAAGATAGAACTGCGATGCAGTTGCAAAAAGAGTCAATATAGGTGAGATTTTCATTTAATTGATATTTTTATTATGAATTTTAAAAAATTTTTAAAATACAAAAAAAATTTAAAAAAAAACAAATAAAAAAATTCTGAAAAAATAAAAAAAGTTAAAATCCTGAAAAATTAAATAGAAATTAAAAAAATTTTACTCGGAATACATATTCCATCTGTTATAATGGAATGAATTATGAAGCGAAGTCTCACAAAGGCTCACTTTTATACAGTCTTTCTGTGGCTAAGTTTTTGCACTAGAACGTGACCAATTACAAAGAAGAAGGAATCACTTATCATTGGTTGGTATCAGTTATAATGGGTCGCATGATGCGAGTAATGCGACGCAATTATGCTAATCTGCGTCGAAGTGATCGTAGCTTCTGATAGGGATTTTCTTATGATCACTGCGCCACAGTTACGTGCAACTACAATGAAAATTTTGCAGTTACGCGTAACTGCAACGCAATTGACAAAAAAAAGAGAGGCGACGTGGGCGTTTCATCTGTTTTTTACATTATCAGGAATGGAAAGAATCTGTTGAGCAAATTAAAACATTATTTTTTATTCTTTTAATTGCTTGTCAAAAACAAATCATGTCTTATTATCCATTTCTTTGACATTATATAATTACTAAATACAAATTGTGAGATTTATTTCATAGTAGATACGGTAAACAGTATTGTATCTTGTTGTTTTCAAATATCCATTATTCATATGTCGTTAGCATCTTCAGCAAGCGAAACAATCGCTGCAATGAAGGCAGCACAAAAATATTTATATCAATGTGGTGGCCCAATTTTAATGCTTATCGGTACGATCGGTTGCATGTTGAATTTAATTGTATTTACTCAAAAAGCTCTACGAAAAAATCCATGCTCAATCTATTTTATTGCATATAATGTGGCTAATTTTCTATACATTTATTCTTCATTATTAGCTTTAACATTGAGTGTAGGATATAGTATTGATGTTAGTATATATAACCTAATTATCTGTCGTTTACGTCTTTATACCGTTAGTTTATTTAATACTTTGAGTCCATTTTATTTAATTTTGGCTTCTGTTGATCGAATTTTTGTTACTTCATCAAATGCTCTTACACGACAACGAAGTACTCGCCGTTTTGCTTATTTATGTATTTTAATTGGAACATTATTTTGGGCATTATTTCATAGTCACGCATTAATCGCCTCGAATATTAGACAACTTGCTCCTAATGCGTTTCTTTGTTATTTTCAACAAGGTATTCATCTTGTTTTCGTTAGTTATTACGCCGTCATCAAAGAAACTTCGACACTTTTATTAATGATCATATGTGGATTGTGGTCTGTAAAGAATATTCGAAACATACAGCATGTTAGAGGCGTTACTAATCTCTCTACCAGTCGAACTACTACAGAAGGTAGCTCACATTCAGCTTCTTCAAAAGATCGACAACTTATTTTTATGTTACTTTTGGATATCATTATCTGTGCCTCATTTAGTTTTGCGTTTGCAATTTTTCTTATGTATCAACAAATAACACAAAATTATACAAAAAGTTCTGATCAAATACAAATTGAAAATATTGTTAGAAATCTATGTCTATTTAGTGCTGGTATACCATTCTGTACTAGTTGTTATGCAAATTTAATCGTATCGAAAACCTTTCGCTATGAAGCGAAGAAAGCACTTTCATGGAAACGAATTTTTTGCATCCATTGATTTTGAATTATTTATAATAGATTAACAATTATATGTTGTAATTATGTATTGTGTTTGTATAAATAATAAATAAAATTGAAAAGAATTCTAGATTGGGGTGTAGGTGTGAGTCTTATATTCGGCAACATATATATATACACCCACATCGATACCCAATAAAGTATGTTGTTATGACAGAATAATGAATTATAAACTGTCAAAAGGTGAAATCTGGTATCATATTAGAACTAGAGTGGGTGGGATGTGGCTGTGGCTGTAGCAGAGATGTCCACCGCGGCTGAAAATCTGCCGCTGCCGCGCCGCGGCCTTAGAAAAAAAAAGTTGCCGCACCGCAGCCGCGCCGCGACGGTTTATAAAAAAATGTTGCCGCGGCGCTGCCGCGCCGCGATGGCTTATAAAAAAAAACGTTGCCGCGATGAATTATAAAATAAACGTGCCGCCGCCGCGGCGGTTTACAAAAAAGTGTTTCTAATTTCACTGCTGCGACTATATTTGACCAGAGATATTGGTACTAGTCCATCAGATTCATTCAGTCTCGGGGTGTTTCATTTGTAAACCCTGAAATTCTATTAAATTCATGCAGTTTTCAATATTCCCCAAAAAAATCCTGCCGCTGCCGCGATGATTTTTAAAAAATCTACCGCTACCGCGCCGCTGCCGCGGTGATTTTTTAAAAAACCTGCCGCTGCCGCTACAGGCCATCGTGGCAGCGCCGCGATGGACATCTCTGGGCTGTAGGTCTTATATTCATCCATACCCATAGTCATCGCACACCTCATC